CTTCCATTCAAATTTTAGCTCCTTCACAAATATCTTTTCTTCCATGTCAAGCTTCCGCCCTTCTCCAATTCTCAAATCAACATTTACAGCACATTTCCTCCATATCACTTCTGACCTTCTTCCTCCACGCACTCTCCATAAAGTCAATGGACTTGGACAGTCTTTCCTGGATCTCGCAATTGCCTTTATATTAATTTTTGTCATTATTCTTTAACAAACCTGCAGTTCCCATAAACCGTATCAAAACCATCATTCTTTCTTCCATGCCTTACTGTTCTTGCTTTTTAAAATCTGAGATACTTTACAATAGAGACCTATCATTTATATGTTAAGAATTTTGCATGAATAAACAGCAATCTTTCCTCACATGAAAAATACTTGCTCTGCAGCAGAACAGTGCCAGGAAGGCTGCAGAGGCCCAGAAGACTGAGAAAAACAGTAGACAGAACAATTGCAGAAATCTGATAATAAAGACAAGTAAGTGATTCATCTTAAACTTATGAATCTACCAGTTATGGTATATATTTGCACAGAGCCCTACTGAAAGGTGGATCTTTAAAAAGAAATTGCTTCTCATTCTATAAAGAGATCAGAAAGAGAGAATGGCCACTGGTAAGCATGATAGGTTACCGTAAACAAAATAAATTATCCCTGGAGCATATAAGTGTTATATTAAATACATATGTCAGCCTGAGCCTTTGAGGATTATTGTGTTGCCTAAAAAGGAGTTTTTACAGTTGTGAAATTTGAAGTAGAATAAAAATGAACTTTTAACTAAGTTGAATGTGACTGTTACAAAATACAAAACCTTTCATCTGTAGAAGCAAGACTCTAATGTAAACTTCAGCAGCAGCAGAAAGCAAGCTTTCCAAAAGTTTTATTCCCTCATGGGAAAGGCTGTGTAATTAGTTAGGCTTTATGGAGTATTACTTGACTTGCATTAGACATTATAAGCGTGAAGAAAATCTGGGCCTTTCAGCTTTAGAAAATGTCCACTCTGAAAATGATATTTTGCCACAAACACGACGAAACCTGCTCTCTAGTATTTCTGGTTCCTCAGCCACACGGCAACGGCAATAATCTTAGCTGCCTGGTGGCTAACAAGCCTAGGGGGAAAATAAACAAACAAAAAACCACAAAGGGCAAGAAGAGACAATACGCAGTAAAATGTAAAAAAAGACAAAAGAAAGAAGAGACACTTAGGACAATAAAAGAAGAAATTAAAAAAATACAAAATACACACAGTATGCACACATGCTGGAGAAAAACTAAAAGGGTTAAATGAAAATAGATTCAAGGTAAGGACAGAAGAGAGCTGAAGACTTTAAATGCTAATGAGAAGAGTTGATCCAAAAAGAAAAAAAATCTGGTAATGAGACATTTAAAAAACCTGATGATGTAAAAACAAGAGAGAATAACCAGGGATGAAAGTAAGAGCAGTAATCAACCAAAAAAAATCTTCAGTTAATCGTAATGCCATGCAACACAGAAAAGAAAAAAAAAAAGAACCAATCTGTATTTCTAATTACTCCTTGTAGCTGAAGACATTATAAAGACAAAAGTAATCAAGGTTTTGGTTCCAAGAAACCAATGAAGATTAAAAAAAAAAAGTACATAAGTATAAATCAGCAAAAGGAAGAAACAAAAAAATAATTCTCTTGGTTCAGTGTTTCTAAATAAGAAAAAATACTTTTAAACAACCTGCCAATTTTTATGTCACTTTCCCCCTAAACTCACTTTTCCATGTAGTAACTTGTGGAGTCAGTTCCCAATGACATTCCTGATTCCACAGACACTGTGCAGGTGGGAACTCTCTCCTAATGGCAGCAGTAACAGAACACAAAATACAGGGACTCTAAAGGTGTCAAATTCTAGTGCCAATACCCCAATACTGTGGTAGCCTGTACCGTAATCTACTATCAGTTTTAACATTACCATTCCTACCTTCTAATCTTACCAAACAGTCATTTACCTTCAATAAACAATGCTCTAAAAAGATACACCATTTCATGTTTGAGGGTAGCAGACTTCCCCAGTACGAGATGCTGCACATCTGACAGCATGCGATGTCCAGTTTCCATGTTCTTGTGTAATGGCTTTGGACAGCACATGTTTAATCAAGAACATAACCTTCCTTCACACAGGACAGACAAATGTTTCTGCAAGCTGGCCATGGCAGTACACCTACACAACACAAAACAGTTGTACATGTTTGAAACACCCCAATACTTGGAAGTCTCTTTACAACCTGTATGCTTGGAAGTCCTCATCATGGAAGATTATGGAAATCACCTTATTTTAGATACTTTCCTTAACACAAGACATGAATTTGGAACTCAGGAAGAGTAAGAAATCTGGGTGCTCTTCATTTTATCCCTCTTTTCGATAAGCAATAAAAAGAAACTGCATGAAGGTTTCAATCCCTCCTCCTTTATGCCCTTAAACTTTCAAAAGTAAAGGTTCAAAAGTAAATAGGGGACGTTTGTATCTGATTTCTATAATAAAAAAGGTTTGACCTCACACTTAGCTGCAGGGGGATACATGCATACACAGGCTTAAAGAATCACCACACATCACTTCATAAAACACCTTGAAACATACTGCAAGATGTGTAACGTCTGCGCCCCTAGAGCTTCTGTGCTCAAGTACCTTTTGGCTTTTTATAGCTAAGCACTAGTTCAAAGGCTTCTTACTACAAGCACACTCTAATACCAGTGACAGCCTCCTTATCCTTCTAGCTGTATAGCACACCTTGGCTTAATGCAGTCAGACTTCTCCCCAGTTCTAGTGGAAATAACATAAAATTTCTCAAGCAGTAAAGAAGGTCCTTCACTTAGCACAGTCCTTGTTTCTTTTACATGCCTTTTCTATGTCACTTCCACTTACTAAGCATGCATGCTGGAACACATATTATGCAGATATGCAGTCAAATGGCACTCAGCTTGTAAGAATTCCTGAATCTGTAACTCAGATTAGCCAGACCATCCCTTTGACTGGATAAAGCATAAAAGCAATACAAAACTACAGGGAACTCATCTGATTGACGATCAGATTCCAGGTCCAACTGCCTGGACCCACCTCCTCCCTTTTGCATTTCCACTCACAAGAGACCTTCAAGTGGAACCTGTACTCCCTCTCATGGTGGTTTCTTTCACCACAACTCACTCCAGTTTAGGAACCTCCAATGGTTTCAGATCCTCATTTAGCAGCTTGCCCCAGCCACTCTTGCCATTCAAACAGCAGTAACAATGTTATCAAAACTGAGGTCCTTCTAAGGGAAAAGGTGGGCTGTTGTGTTAACATAACCCAAACACCAGATAGCCTCTTACGTTGCTTACGTTTCCTCAAGATCCACAAAACTACATGAGCCTCTTCACTCAGCTGAATGAAGATCAGACTACATTTTTTTTTTTATCATCCTTATTAAATACATATCTGCTATAACAAATGGTTTAGAGAAAAGATGATCCTTTATGTAGCCCCATTTTCTGCGTAAATTTCCTTAGTAGGCTTGCCGGGCTTTCGAGTAGTTTGTCTGTTGTTGTTGCCCATAAAACCCAGCAACATAGGTATGTGTTTTTCTTTGGAAGCTCAGTTTGGAGTAAAATATTCTTTATCAATAAAATCATCCAGCAGCTCTTCATCTTCATTACATTCCTTAACACAGGCAAACATTAGCAGTGTTGCATTTACTAAGGAGTAAATGCATAAAAACAAACAAAAGAACCCCTCATTACTCTATTTTCAAGCCTCTTATACCTTTGTCCAATGCTTATGATGGATATAATTAACAATTCTGGCTTCAGAGGCTGAAAAAAGAGACCAGTAATGAAGATCAGATTACATTCACTGTAAAATACACAACATTTACCCCAATTCCATTATTGTTCTCCTGTAGAAAATGTGAAAGTGCAGGTATTATTAGTGCACCGATATTTGTTAAGAACCTCTGGCAAAGGGATTATCATTATCTACTTTAGTAATATCGGATTTTCATAGTACATAGGAAATGAACATAGGACAATAAAAAAATTTGCAGAATAGTCACTTGTAATGCTCTCTGCAATCACTGTGTACAGAAAGGTGATCTCAGTTATCTGTTATCAGTACTGTTACAAGGTCATCTACTAAACCTGAAACCATCCCTTTTAGTTTCTAAATGGACACAAAGATTTTCCTTTGGAAAAAAGTCTCTGAGACCCATAAAAACAGCAGTAGAGTAATAAATGCTATGAACTTCTGTTGTACTGTGTAAATAAAACAAAACGTCCTACAGAAGATGTGTTCATCAAACAGAGATAAGGGCTGATATTGGTACAGTCTTCCACAGCTGATTCTTGGAAAACTTGCTGTGAAGTGACTGCACCATATTTGGAAGTGGGCACAAAAAACAGTTTTGACTATTTTTTCCATTGAAAATACAAGTAGGAAAGGGAGAACAATTACTTGAAAAATCTGAAAAAAAAGAGGACATAAGCACCAGCAACAAAGGACCCAGTTTCTAGCTATCACAATAACTACACAAAGATAGGTTTGATTTGATTTCAGATGCCATAACTTACTGACACTGGCAGCTCCTTTGAAATCTTAAAGATTACAGCATACCCTTAAAAGGGAACTTTTTCTTCTTAGATACCTGAAATCTAGAATGGTCTTTATGAACAGTTATCTCCAAAATTTTTATGCAGACAAAAAAGAGGTCATGTACTACACAATTAACAAGTAAATGCTTAAGATGAAATGACCACTTTATAATATACTGTCAACTGCTCCATACGTAACTGTCTCAAAGATTTCAGTATATAACTGTCCCTCAGAGGAAAAAATTTTTCTTTGAGGACAGGAGAAGTAACAGAATACTCCTCTAAGAAGAACACTCAAGTCTGAAAATTGTAGGGTAAAACCATACTTTTTCCTTTAAGAACAATAACCTAGAACATAACATGGCATCACAGCAATTATCATTCAAGCAACAGATGTGTATATATACATGTTCTCACCAAACGTATGAGTGCCGTGTTCCTGATGATTCTCTCCCTGCAAGGCTATCATTTTTTTATGAGCATCAACCCACCATGGTTTGTACTTTAAGACATGTTGAATAGCTTCATCTTCAAAAAAATCAGCTCTAGGAAAAAAAAAAGTCATTTTCTATTTATTTCAGTTTGTAGTGTATGTGGGTATATTTTAATGCATACATAGAATACACCTGACTTGGCCCCAGGCTATTTTCCATACATTTGAAATACAACAAACCTGACCAGTATCTGTTCTTTGACTTAAAACCAGAAAATAAGCATTATTAAAAGCATAAGCAATATTCTCTTATCTTACAGTGCTCCTTCCTTACTTCCTCCACCTTTCCTGAGCCACCCAGAAGCCTAGGAAATCGATGAACTTGCAGCATGACATGAAGTTGAACAAACCTGATACGTTCTGGATGAATCTAAAGGAAAACATTCCAAAGAGAAGACTTCTCAGAGAACGTCACTGGCAGCAAACTTGATTTTACTGGGAAGCTCTCCCACTTTAAAACTGCGTATACTTTGGGGAAGAAGGGTATGCAGCTGAAGGGCAAAGATAAAGTAGGGATAGGGACTGACTTTAAGTAAACAAAGGCATGTTGTAGCAAGGTAGAAGAGTTCTACGTGAATTCTGGAAGAGACATTACCTCCATCTCAGCAGAAAGCCACTGTGGTAAAAATCTCAATATAGTAATTCTGGAGGACTTATACTAAAGGATTCAAGTTCTAAGCCTCCTCTTCTATCATTTTAGGTTTTTCTTCAAACAAAATGATACTATAAATACTGAGAACTGAAAAAAATGCAGGGAATTTCTTAATCATCATACAAAACCTGCCCAGTCTACTGAACACAGAATGTAATTTGCCTTACCCTCACACTGACAGATTTTTTGATGCCTTCCTTCAGCGTCTTTATAAAGTAACTTAAAGATATCAGCCAGTGTACATTTTCCTCGAAGGCAACAGAACACTCCTGCTTGCCACCGTTTCTCCCAGAGCTGTGCTTCTCATCAGGGTACACAGGAAAACAGTTTGTGTTGAAGACAGGTTGGTATCATCTGTTCTAAGCATCCAAAACACAGCCATTAAACTAAACTGTTGTAGCTTATCTACCAGGCTAGAACACAGGTTCTAAGATGGAAACTTACAATTACTGTAATTTGCATCACATTATAGGTTAGGAACTACTTCAGTTCTAGTGAAATGTACTTCCAACTGACATTTCAAGAAAGCTTTTCTAATTTCTACGTGCTACAGAAAGACATGCAACTGCCTGTGAAACACCTAACTGGGGAAAAATTCCAAGTTTGCAAAGATACCTTCTGAAACAACTCAAAATGAGTTAAGCCTACCTCTCCCTGACAAAAGACACTACAAGTACTAATTCTCCCTAATGGGGACTACACTCTTCTCCCACCAAATCGATCTTGCAGGAATCACTGTACTAATAGATCTCATGGCTTCAATTTAGTTTACTTATCTGGAAATTTCTGAACCTAACTTGACCTGAAATACTCCAACTTGAAAGGCACAAAGAATCATTTCCACCTTCACTACATGGGATGAAGCACAAAGAAACACAAAGTCTTGGTTTGGAACTTTTACTCATTCTCCTGTAAAAAAAAATTTGTGATGAAGGCAAAAAACAAAGTGGCCTAGACAAAATCTTCGTAACTTCAAAACTCAAATTTACTTTCTCACAGACCAGGATGGTTCAGTAATCCTTGTTTCAGAAGGGGACAACAAAGTTCTGACATCTATAACCCCTGCTGCTGAAGAGGTGAACTATAAAACAATGTTCTGCAACAGTTCACAGCAGCCCCTGCTTGAATACAGACTTCAGCAGTAATTAAACAGTAGAGTAACCCCAAAACAGATAAGCAAGGTCTTGTGTCAGTGTCACACTTAAGAATACCCTCTAAGGCCTGCTGTGATGAGACAAAGAAACAGACAAACAAAAAGTAAAGCTATTATTTCCAAAAGTGATCTTAAAACCAATCATTTTTTTAAAGAAAAAGTGAATATATTTCAAGTGAGGTACTTTTACTTGACCACGTGAAGTAAATCAATACTCACAGGTAATGATCAGGCTCAAACTTGGCAGCCTCAGCTGCCAGGCGTTTCCTCCTACGTTCATCTACAGGAGTTTGGTCTGGATCCTTAATGTCAATAACATCACTGAGTTCATCCTGCAAATGGAACAAAAATTATATGACCAAGCCACAGGTATGATATGCAAGATTTATTTAGTAAGAGTTTAGAAAGGATGCTTATCAGCATTACACCGAAATCCCTAGTTGCTCTTCAACCTCCCTTTCAAATCTTCCAAATTCAGGCTCCATTGTGCAAATAAAACATCAAAATTCCAAGGAAATTCAATTATTTGAAGCTCCTTAGAATTCATGATATTATGAAGTCTATTCAGGCCATTTTATCATAAGGCAGACAGGTTGTTTTGCATTACGATAAAATTTGCAGTGTTTAACAAAAGCACACAACCACAACAAAGACAAGATAAAAACCACAGATACTGTTCTTGTGACTTTGGAGATTACTCTCACGCTCTGAAGTAGCCATACATTAATTAATGTGCAATCACAGTGCCCTTTTAAGCATCATTAAGTAGTGGTACATTAATGCTGATGGGAAATGTACTTCTTCATTAATTTCATGGTAATAAGCCAGTATATATATACTAACAGAATGTAAATACTTTCTCCATAAATATCAATCCTTCCGCTCCAAACCCTGAAAATACTACAATTCATGCAATAATGAGTTACAAACTTACATAATTAAGTAGCTTTAAACAGCTACAACTTAAATTGCCTAGAGTAAGAACACTACAAAAAATTATCATCTACTATTTTAATAAAAGCTCTGTATACTACGAATATTATTATACTACTTAGCATCCCACAGGTTGTAGATTAGCTTCAATCTATTAATGAATTAAAGAAACTGTTGAACGCACAAGAGCAAAGTAACCGCATTTTAAAGCTCCTATCCTACCAATTGATCCACAAAAGCAAATTTCAGCACACCAGCGTAACCCTAGTAAATCCCACAGATACCAGGTGATCAGACACCTTGAAAAGTGCACACTTCAAAAGTTATTGTCCTGTGAGAAAATCAAGTCTAAAATAAAAAGTACAAAGAGAAAATTACCATTAATTTTACAACGAAAAAAATGTTAATTCAACAACCATAACAGGATCTATAGATTAGCCAGCTTTATTTCTTTTTTTTTTTTTTTGAGTAATTTCTTTTTAGTTTAAAAATAAATTAAAATTCATGGTATCTGAAATACGCTGTACATTGATGTTACATATGTTTGAAGTCAGAATAGAAGACAATACCAAACATAAAGCAGAAGTGTTAACAGCCTGTAGACAGTTTGCAGCTTGCCAGAACTACTCACCTGGCACATGGCCTGCTTCATACAGGCCTTTTTCTCCGTGCCTTCACAGGCTAGCTGAACCATGCTGATGACAGCAGCCCACCTCCAGAGGCTATTTTTACCAAGGACCCCATTCAGCCCTTTCCGCTGACACTGAAATTATTGCAGCAATAGACCGGCCCATTGACTCTTGCTACACAATTAACTCAGTCTTGACCACCCCCTACTTCTGCAGGAACAAGGATTTGCCTGTACTACTTACTACATGCAAAAGTAGAATATTCTCAGTCACAGAATGGGACAATGGAGAACAGTTACCTAACAATCCCCTCCTGACTGTGGAATGAGCCAGGAAGCCTACCCAAAAAGAAAGTTACCCAGAACTTTTATGATCAGGAAAAGACAAAAATGCATCTACCTGCAGCCGCTGGAATACCCCTGACCGCAAATTCCCAAATCCGTAACGGTACTGGAGTGGTAGAGTGCTTTCTGCACTTTCTTCATAAGGGGTCTGCTCTACTTCCCAGTCAAATTCTTCTTCCTCCTCCTCAGACAACTCAGCAGAGGCAGCTGCATATATCACATGGTCAGAGAAAGAAAATTATTACATAGATTATTACATATATTATTACATAATATAAAGGCAAACACTGATAACACAATAAGCCTTTCCCATTTTACTACACCTTTTAAGAAATCTTATACAACAGTGGGTCATAAGGGCAGATGCTTCCATCAATAATCCATAGGTCCTGCTCCAAATTCTTCAACTTTCAAAAATGAAAACCAGGAACACTGAAGTTTTTAACTGTACTCCCTCAAAGACTAAAATAATTGATTTCAACAAGATCAGAACTTGATGCTAAGAGAACCCTGACAGGAGCAAAGTGATGTTATCAATAATTTAAGATAGGTATTGAAAAATTAAACACAGATAGTCAAACATTCTTGCCTATTAAACACTGATGTTAAGCAAGTCATCCACTAGAACCTGTGGTTTTAATTAGCTTCTACCATTTGAGCTAAAAGTCCAGTTGTGCTAGCTTACAGGAAGCAGAAGACTCAAATGCATGTGTATTATACAGCCACTAGAGGGGTACAAAGATCTACAGAGGATTAGCATATATTAAGCACATTTTGGAAAAATGTAAACATAACTAAGCCTATAAAGATGACATGTATATCACCTACAACACATTTAGTTCTATACTTATCCATACTTCCAGATTCATTCACACCCTTCTTGCACCTTCGACTAGACAATAATAGAAATACTGTATTTTTCTACATATATCACTATGTAGATCTGTAACTATTTTGTTATGTACATGTATCACTAGTATAAGCACGATTGTTTTGTCATACCTATCTCTTCCACTAAAGGTTTTGCTGATCTTGATTTCTTTGGTGCTAAGAGAGATGTCAGCATGTCCAGTCCCTCAAAATATTGGCCAGGAATCTCCTTCGGTAACCGAATAGTAAAAGTTCCTTAAAGGAAAGTCAGAATATAGTTACTGCATCAAAATATCCAAGACAAAGAAAAATATGCATTTTTTTCCTCCAATGAAAAAGGCTCACAGAAACTGGGACACATGCAGGTAGCATTTTACTATGCATCAGTCTCTGTGCGTATTTTTAACATTACTTCACAAGTTTCACAAAAATCAAAGATTTTAATAATAAAGCATGAAAGAGAATATTTAACCAGTTGTGGTCTCTTGATTCACATTGTATAAACACAAACCAACAGAATACAAGCTTTATTTCATTTTCAATCCTTCCACCAATCAAGCAATCAACAGAAGATCACAGGAAACTACATTCAGCAATCTGTCTATTGTCTTAAGTCAAGCACGTTATAAAGGCTTTGCAAGCAGCAAATTATAGGTTTTATTGCTTTTTTTTTTTAATTAATACATTAATTCCAGAAGGTACATATTTTATTCCAGAAATACATTCCACCTCAAGGCGTGGAGAAAAGCTAATGTCTTCTCTCTTAAGACATAGCCAAGAGACCGCCTCAGGATTATCTCATTTCTACTCAGCATTTCCTGACTTCCTTAGAGATTTACTAGACTAATGATCTTGGTACAATGACATTTCTAGCCCCCACTGGGCTAGAAACCTTTTCATTATTAGGACAGTTCTGAACAAGTCCTTTCTCCTCAAGGATAGCCTAAGTACGTAAAATAAATCCTGAGTAAGATTTTTTCATACTACATAACATAGGAGAAACTTTACATTTATTTACAGTATTGTATACTTCACTGAAGTTCTATGCAATTCCAGTGCAGCAAAGCATAAATTATTGAAGAGTTAGTAGCATTTTTAATGACACATACACTAATAACATTAACTAATACCTTTGTCTGTATTATAAGATGCTTTTTCTCTTCCATCTTCCACAATTCTTCCAGGAAGTGTCAATCTGCAGGAAAAAAATTAGATGCCTCATTGAATACCTGACTAATTCTGCAACTTAACGTCTCAGCCTATAAAAATGTAGGGCACATTCCAAAATCAGCACAAAGGACTTAACTACATGATTCCTTTTGACAGTAATGGAAGTCATGCAGTTAAATCCCCATATACTTAAAAATCTTTTTCCCTAACTATTGGCACAAAAAATCAGCATCTGAGATAGAGAAAATTTGTGACTCCTGGTTTCCCAGCTTGGACAAGGCCACGGACACCACAGAGACGATGCCCTTGGCACTACGTGCAACACTTGGAAGTTTCTGCAATTTAAAAACTCTAAGCTAACCACAGTGACAGGATATGAGAACTCATCCAGAGTTCTTGTACTGCTTATTCAGAATCACCAATTCAGTGCATTCTACCAGTCCACTAAAAACCCTTGTGGTCTACTTATACATATAGGGGAAGCATGTCCAAGAATACAGGAAACAGAAAATAAGAAAGGTTAATAGCTCATCAGCTCCTACATGCCAAAGGTTCTCTTAACACTTTCATACTGAGATTGCCTCTTCTTCTTTTTCTATAGCATAGTGGAGAACTTGCTATCTAGAGAAAAGATACAACCTGGAACCTCACTTCCTACTGGGAACCTCACTTCCTACTGCCCCCACTCACATGACTTTTCTCCCCTTACGTTATTATGAGCACATCAAAATCCATTCTTCACCAAATATACCGTATCTGGCTCTCAACAGGGAAAAGACACTTATTCTACACAACTTGCATAGATCCAGAGAATTGTCTTGCCATTTTACAATTAAAAATCTATTGTAAAGTAAATTTTTAAAGTATTTCTTTAAACTCTCTTTAACATGATTTAATGCATAGAATCAAAGAGGCCAGATCCCTAAAAAAAATTCTTTGCACAAAATGGGCTGTCTATAGTCTACAGCGCAAGAGCTGCAGATGAGGAATGTTCTGAAGGGACCAAAATGAAGTTCATTCTCTACTGACTTTTATTTATTTTATGAAGTTCAATTTTTTTAAAATCCTTCTACTACTTGCCTGAGAAAGTACGGCTTAGCATAAAATTTAAAATCTTCCCCTTCAAAATACACGTCAAACTCCGAAGCTCTGGCATAAGGTACTTTGATTATTATTGTAAGAAAATCCAGATCCTGGGTCAGCTCAAAAGCTGGAGTTATCATGATGAATCCACCAGGAAAAGCAACCACTGGCTGTGTGGCCCTATCAAAACAGGAAAACAAGAAAAGATTATTGTAGTTTCCAATTTATGAGAGCAAATAGTGTCTCTTCAAAATTCTGTAAGAAGAACATTCTTACAAAATTTATCTTCACATGCTCAAGAAGAAAACACTCACCACAACAGCAACAAAACAAAAAAAAAGTGTTATCACGAATTTGAAGGTACCACCTCTCTGCACCTTAAAGAAACAATTGAACATAAATGAATGCAGACATTTGGAGCACAGGAAAGCACCTATTACATTCCGCATAAAAAACACACTAAATTCAGTCCTAGAACGTGGCAGCTTTTTGTAATTGTTGTTTATAATTTCACACATAGCAGATGTTAGATCTCTACAGTTCATTAGTGAACTGATCACAAATCACTATTAGAAAATACTGAAAAACAGCAATACTTTCAAAAAATTAGAGATGTATGATTCATACACATATTAGCCAGAATACAAGCAACAGATTCAGTACACCCCAAACAGATTATCTGAGCATATACACCAAGCATACTGCTCTTCATGTCAAATTTAATGCATAAGCCACTGGGACAGTACATGCACAGTAAGTCAAAGATGCTCCTTCGCAGTGGGCTCATGACACAAGAGCTGCCTGAACAGTTTAAACATGAGCAGTTGACACACTCGGGATGTCCAACATGCTTATTATTTTGATCAGTTTGCAGGTTTTTCACGAATCTTGGAAGAAACATCCTAAAAACCTCACATTCCTTCTGAAAATTCAGTCAAAGAAAACATAAATAATACAGTAGTTGTAGACGAATTAAATTATCTAGAAGATATCTGGGATCTCTTTCACCAAGTGTTTTTAAGGACATTTTAGGTCAACATCCATCCATATGTATGTACATGGGCATGCATATATATTTAGCATGAGAAAAGGAATTTACATAGTACCATTCACCTGATACACAACTTGTCTGACTCTTCAATAGCTTTGAAACGCAAGATAACTCCTCAGGTTTAACTTAGAATCCAGTTTTTTAAATGGGGGGACCACACACTTTTGAAAATTAACTTTTTAAGACAAAAATATTTTTACCAAAAAATGCAAAATAGAACTACTATCTGGGAAAGAGCTACTTTTCACTGACTTTCACAGTTATCTTTATTAAATATATCCCTGTTCCTACAACTTCATGAGCAACATGGAGTATTAACCATTAATAGGGCTAAATTAACAATTACCCATTTTTTTCATATAGGTAATTCATATGGGTAATCTACCTCAATTGACAAGTATGAAAGAAGTGAAACTCCCCATTTCACCGTATCACTTGATTCCAGGGAAAAATTCCCACCCTTTCCAGGCTGAGAAGCTACCGTGTGCTTATTGAGCTGTAACTAGATAGGAAATACCTGGCTTGAAGAACTTGCAAGTCGATGTACATTTCCGTGGACTTTCTTCTTATCTATTTAAACACCACACGCTGTCTAACAACATGGTATAAAAGGTAACAAAAATCCACTAGCTCATTGAGACCCTTCAAGGATGATATGTCAGCCTGCATTTTTATATTCCCGATTCAGAGGTTCAGAACATTTAACAGCAGCCCCAAAGCCAGGCCGTGCTGTTCGCGCTCTGAGCTTCTCAGCGCTGCTGCACTTCTGGCATCCCTGACACAAATTAATGACCCTAAACTAATGTGCAGCTTCCCTCACAAACCCCAGGTATTTCACAGACCACAGCCTAGGAACCGCTGACATCCATCCCACATCAACGCAACACTTAATCCCCAGCAGCGCTGCTTCCAATCTAAAATCAGGTATCCCAAAACAATTAAGCTTCCCAGCCTTTTCTGTAAAAAGACCGCTATGCACTAGAGAAAAAACACCAGCAAGCAGAACTAAAATGTTTCTGTTGCAGCAAGGGGCTGGCAGGAAAGGGACAAACGCTTTGCTCTGCTTTCCCTCAAAGGCACTACAGCAAGACATAATTTCCCCCGGCGGCTCGTTAAACTGGGTCAAAGGCCGACTTTCAAGTCGTACCGCGGGG